TATTTCCGAAGAGGGAACCATCCTTTGACGTTCTTTCTTGAGTCGATCCTCGGCTTTACCAAAAAAGAAAAACACCTAGTTCACTCGCTAGCGCATCCATGGCTGAATGGTGAAAGCGCCCAACCTATACCAACATGGCGCTTGGTCAATTCATAGCGTAGGTTCGATTACTACTGGATGCGCCACCTCTTCAAGAAGGATTTCCGAGAATTCCTTATCCGTCAAGCAGGCAAAGTCGACTATTCATCTTCACTTCCTAAAAAGTGCTAAAAAGAGCCCCTGAGTGCAGACCAATCCCCAAGGGACTAAGCACATTCGGTTCTCTTTCAAAGAAAAGACCCTTCTAGCAAAGCCCGCTTCGCTTTACTGCCTCCTGATCCTCGCCCAAGGAATATCAAGGAGAATTGTGCTGGTTTTGATGCTGCTTGAATGTCGGAGAATCTACTTTCGTACAGTTGTGAAACAACCCAAAGCCAAAGAATGCAGGAACAATCAAGCCTTATCGCAGTCCATATTTTGAACCGTTCATGAACATCACAACATACTTAACTAAAGCTACCTTACTTTCGAGTCGCCAAACAGACTACTTGGCCTCACCTAATTCTATAAAATTTCTATTGCCAAGGTAAGGCTGAGTCGGATTCTAACCCAGTCGCCCCAGAGTTCCTGAAATAAGGTTAAGAGGATGGGGATAGATGGGAGATTCTCACAAGAGCTGATGAAATGGGAGCTCCCCCAGTTCCAACAATGCACTTCTCGGACCGAGAAAGGGGAACTGCTTAGTTTTGCATATTAGAACTCATTAAAGCTCAATTCACATCATTATGCTTGATAAAATGAATGAGGGAAGCTCCAATAGAAAAATATTTGAAGGGAAAAATGCTTCTAAGATGTATCTCTTCCCATGCAATAGTTAGGAATTCTTGACGATATCGAGCAGGAACAACCTGTTGTTCTTGACCCCGATTCAAGGCCAAAGAATTTCCTGCTGCTACCATATAATATTCATCTCTATTTGGTGATAAATAAACCATCTGTGCCTCTCCTCGGTAGCTTACGAGTTTACATCCATCTCTGGTCGGGTACAGTTTCTTTTCTTTTCTCCGCACCTTGTAGCCTTTACTCGAATTCACGCAAGTGTGTCCACACCCCCCTGACTTGACGAAGAATTCATTCTCGCAAACAAACACACCCCCTACACACACCAAGAGCACCCCTTCCTACATATCCATACAAGATCCGAGTAGGTTGGTCGAGGTCCTACGGGGTACCCACTACTCGGAGTACCCAATTCCGTATTTTCTCAATTGTTTATGTAGTCGGTTCATAGCTTCCACCTTAAACAATTTCCATTCGTAGGTTCCAGCACATGCACCCACCACACTTCTGCTTATTATCGATAGGGGCCTCCACACTTCTGCTTATTATCGATAGGGGCCTCCCCTTGCTTACCAAGCGCACAACATGATAGAAACTCTTCCAAGATTTCTTGGATGTTTTCCGGCCACTCGGTAATTCCTTGTAATGCAAAACAGGTACTCAAATTTCCAAATGAAGAAATAGAAATATGAACTTAACTAATAATCAAAAAACAAATAACTTGATTTGGAAGCTCTTCTTGATTTAATAACACAATGGTCTTCTCCCCTCCGCCTTGGACCTTCCAACAGTAGACTAATTTCTGGTTCTGCTTCCCCACTACTGTGGTGACTAATAATGATCCAAGGCCTCCAATAACAGTGGAATTTGCAGTGAATCCAAGGAGAAAAAAAATATTTAGTTTACTATTGAATTAAAGAAAGAAGTTTGTCATAAAGAAATAAAAGAACACAGAACCTGATCTAGGAATGTTTCTTGGCCTCCATGAAATAACTGAGAAGGTTGTGGTTGCCTCAAACGGCTGTTGGAGATCCTCTGCCCCTTCCCTTGAATGAAAGCCCAGAGACTTCCACTAGCAAACCTTCAAGCCGTAGGAAACAATAGTTGCTTGTCTTTACCAGCTATAGTGACTTTAATTGATTGCAAGAGATGGTTCTGGATCGAAGGTCCGGTGTTACTTATCATTACATCATATTAGAAATGTTATGCAAATATACATACATATCATCACTTATCATCTTTATTAGAAATATTTCATCATTTAAATAATTTTAATAACATTTATATTATCACAATTGAACCCCAATTGGATCTTGATTGAATCCATGAACCTTGAATGGGAGGACGGGTTGAAAGCAAGTAGTGGGAGGGACTGGGCGAGCAATCTATGTGGATGTCAGCGAGTCAATCGAGTAGGGAGAGGGGCCAAGTGTATACAATTGATGTTGGAGTGGAGAAAAAGAGGGAGGGGGTGAGCTAGTCAAATTGAGAGAATGGTGCAAGGTTTGTGGGATTAGTAGGGTGGGCTAAGGACTCCTACTCCAATGGCATGTTAAAGGAAACTAATTCTTTTATTATTGACTGAATATGTAAGGCATATAAATAAGCATGTATGAGGATATAATAAGGAAACAATTAACAGAGAATAATACCCTCAATTTTCAGGATATTAAACATATAATCACCATCTAATATTCAGCGTTATATATATATATTGCCAATACTAAAATATGCCAGCACTCTTCATTTGTTATTTTCATTCATTTGATGACTTCAGTTAATTTTATTAACCTTTACCATTAAGTCTGCATAAGTGATACTCATATGTTCCTCAAAGGTTCTCGATATGTTGTAAGGTAAAAACACGTTGTGAGCCTACCACATTTAGGAATTTTTATTACGTCCGGTAAAAATATCGAGCATACCGAGTGTACCGAGCACTTTAGTGACGTGACTTTTTTTTAATGGTTTCCGGATGCATTCGGTAACATGACGGAATAATCATTCCACATTTAGGCCCTTCCCATGAATTGTCCATTGATTTCCATCTTGCATTTCTCACTCTCATTTACACCAATTTGTTGCTGGCTAACCAAAGGTGCGGATAAAAAGTAGTGCCATTTGATTTGGTGCTGAAGATCAATAATAGAAATTAAATATGGACATTTGTTTCATTCCATCTGTCTTTTCTACGTCAATTTGCATTTGAGTCAACTTGAGTCTATAATTGTTTATTATTTTTTTTTTAGAGCAGTAGTTGAAAATTACATTCACAGTGATCATACCATAGGATCTATTTCGTCTATCAGGTATGTTCCAACCTTTGTTATGGGTTTTGGAATGGTTTGTAGACTACAATGCTTGTATTCTACCTTATACTAAATCCATCTAAGGATAACTACTTCACTATGATTCTAAACCTAAGTCACTGTTTGTGTATTTTAAGTACTGTACATTGCAAATAATGTACCTTTTTGGTGGGTCCATTATAAGGTATATTCCCATGGACCGTATCTTACGATATAAGTGGGCTTAAAACTCACTTTTATTCAGAATATTATTTTATTTTATTTGTTAAATTTTCTTGTTTCGCTTTTATAAACACAGCTCACATATTATGTAATTGTCTTTGGCTATTTAATGAGGAAATTCCCCTTTAATATGAACACCTTTTTTTTTTCCAAAACTCTTCCAGGATGTGTTCGATCAGTTTTTGTTTTTTCCTCTGACGTTTGCCTTGTTTAAGTGTGACTTAACTGATCAGTTTTTGTTTTTCCTCTACTTTTTTCCTTAAATTCTACTTAGCTATTGTTGGAAATTCTGCTCTGATTCAATTAGTTTTGGTACATATATGGATGAGATCTCAACTTATTATGTTTCTTGTATGATAAGTTCTTATCAATTTCTCTTAGGAGATCCTTTAGTGATTCTCACAGATTTGGGCTCTTACTGTCTTCATGATATGAATGAGTAATTATTTATTTTGCCTGGTTGCTTTCCTTACGAATATTAGCATATACTTATTTTGCATCTGTTTTTATTAGGCTTTTTGCATCTTCATTAATTAAAAAAAAAACATAAACATTAAATATAATCAATTATCCACATTGCATATCATTTCAAAGCATTGGATTGTATTAGGATATCCTAGGACTTCATTCATTCGCCCTTCATGAACATCACATTTTTAGATTTTTTTTTAAGGTTGTTTGGTTTGAAGAAGCATAATATTAAGTTAAGTGTTGTAGAGATGAGGATGCTCGGGTGGATGAGTGGCTTTACTCTTAGAGACATGATACGAAATGAGCATATACGTGAAATGGTTGGAGTAGCACCAATGGATGATAAGATTAGAGAGAGTCTCCTTGGATGGTTTGGTCACATAAAATGGCGTCTTTCTGACGACCCGGTTAGGAAAGTATATGTATTAGATTTGACTTATGTTAAGAAAAGTTTTGGTTAGAAAATATTAGAAAAGACCTTTCTTTTTTAGTTTTAGATGAGAATTTGACTCTTAACAGGACACAATGGAGAAAAAGGATTCATGTAGTCAACCACACATAGTGGGATAAAGGCTTGTTGTTGACTTGTTGTTGTAAGTTGTTTGGTTTGAAGTAAATTAGGTATAAATTATTCCTTTTGTAGGGGATTTGAAATATGTTTTTTTGATTGGATAAAAAAAATGCTGTGTGAAGTATTCCAATTCATTTTTGAGGAAAAGTACAATCACATAGTTTTGAGCAAAAATTTTTTCGCTGCAACCAAACTACCTTGTCACCCCCCACACCACCCACAAAAACACACACACACACACCAAAATGGCCATTGCCAGTGACTAGCCGTCGTTGCTTGCACCGCCACTCTCTGCTATTGATCACCATCGCCACTATCGGCCATCAATCACCACCATCTTTGGACTTTATACTGCATTCATTTTACTTCAAGAACAAAAAAAAAATCTCATGCAATCCTTTTATACTCATCCAAACAACTTTCAAACATTTTAAATATATTATATTCATTTTATACTGCATTCATTTTACTCCGTATTACCTTTTCCGCAACCAAACAACCCCTTAATCTTAACTTCAATTTTTTTCTATTTATCCTTCAACATGCAGTTCCTGATTTTCGTGGAGACTCCCTCTTCGTTGAAAAGGTTGCAAAATCTGGATTAGATGTATTCGCTCACAACATCGAGACAGTTGAAGAACTTCAAAGATGGGTTCGAGATCATCGCGCTAATTTCAAACAATCCCTCGACGTTCTTAAAATGGCGAAAGAGTATGCTCCAGCTGGTACTCTCACCAAAACCTCAATAATGCTCGGATGCGGTGAAACTTTTGAGCAGGTGGTCAGTACAATGGAGAAAGTAAGGGTGGCTGGAGTTGATGTCATCACATTTGGGCAATACATGAGACCATCAAAGCGCCACATGCCTGTTTCTGAATATATTACTCCTGAAGCTTTTGAGAAGTACCGAGTAATTGGCATCGACATGGTATGTACCTGGAATTGCTATAGTCTATCATAGAAAAGAAAAATTTGATCATCATAAAATTCAAATAAGTGCAATAGAAGAATGGATTGATTATTCATATGTTGCATCGATCTTAAAAATCAAATTTAAGAGTTTTAGAACTCATTCTGACTTAAATTCTGGATCAGGATTCTCTGATCAAATTTTGATTTCAAAATTATTGGACTTGTTTTAAGATAAGTGTATTATAAGTATTGATTATTCATTTATTGCACTCATTTTAAGACAAATATAATGATATTACAATCCATCTTGATTCTCATTTTGGGTGAGGATTTTGACTAAGGCTTCATTTGGAACTATTTTTTTAATGCTTCTTAAAGTAGCTTTGTAGTACAAAAATTAAAATTTTGTACTAAAAAACTGCTTTAGCAGTAAAAAAGCTGTCCCAAACGAAGACTAAATTTTAGTCAAAATGAATTTCAAAATTTTTAGATTTTTTTTTAAAGATGAGTAAAAAGAAATTACTCATATATCACTCTTATCTTAAGGCTTCATTTGGTACGGTTTTTTAATGTATCTGAAAAGTTTTGTACTAAAAAAATTTTTAAGCAGCAGTAAAAAAACAGCCCTAAACGAAATCTAAATCTTAAAGTATTTCAATAGTTTTGAGATTCATAGTACTGTGACATTTTTTTTTTCCTTTTTTTTATTACAATGTTGTTATTTGACTTATTATCTGTTGTCCATATTTGATATTTCTTATTTCTGTTTTCTTCCCATTCTGTATCATTGCAGGGATTCCGGTATGTTGCTTCTGGACCTATGGTTCGATCATCATACAAAGCCGGTGAATATTATATCAAATCATTGATTGAAGCTGACCGAGCCAATGTTGCTTCTGCGGCATATCTTTGATATTGTTACAGTTACATTTCCCCCCCTTTTTTTTTTCTCCCATTTTGGTACTGATTCTGAAAGCCTTTTCAGTCTGTCAGTCTTTTATTCTCTAGTCTTATGCTTTATTATTTTGCTCAATGCCCATTTTAGGGTTTCTTTCATAATTCTGTTATTCTACTTTGTAATCTGTACAACAAAAAAGTTGACTCCTTGGTAGAAATGCAAATTATACAATTGATGTATGCAAATATTTGCTTATTATAAAATGGTTCGCACCTTTGAATAAGTGTTCCTTTTAAGCTACATTATTTTTTCTCTTTTAGAATTCTTTTTTGGGATTTTTTAGTCAATTAAGATAAATTCACACACAAATCACATATATAAGTTTCGAATTCAAAATCTTTTGGTTGGTAGTCAAAATTCTTAACCAGAGCTGCGTCTCTTCTAGTATCTTAGGCTTAACAGCTTTCTGAAAGCAGAAAGAACGTTGTCCCAAATGAAAACTTAAACTCATGATTAGAACTCAAGCTTTGCAATTCTCTTCCAGCTAATGTGGTAGCTTCTTTTTAGTATCAGACTCAAATTTGATTGGTGAAACCCATGATGGCTTTGAGGTAAAAATTGGTGGAAATATTAGATCACAATAAAAAAATTGGCACACGAAATTTTAGTATGATTCACGAACAATTTTGAATTCAATAAATAATTTACTAATAAATTGATAAATAGGCTAATATTATATTTCTAGATTAATAAGGTTGTATTTATGATCAATTTATATATTTGTATTTTTAATTATGTTTTAAAAAATAGTCAAAATGAAAATACATTAATTAATTTTAAAACATTTAAATGCCTTTTAAATATTTACACGGGAGATCATGTTTTTATTTATTTTTAAGGCATTACTTTTGATAAAAAAATAATTATCATATAAATAAGAAATATTTTAGGAAAATAAATTAGAGCACAGGAGCCATTCGAGGCTTCGAGCAACCCCGGCTACGCGGTCCTTTAGTTAGGTATTCGCGCATTTCGAAAACTAAAATTACGTCCCGCCAGTTCTCTCTCCGGCAAGGTCGAACAGATAAACCCTAAGGGGTTTGAAAAGAGGAGCACGCAGCGCCGCGATCCAGATAGAGATAGATCGAGCTCTTGTTCACCTTTTTCTTTTTGGTTTCTCTCTTGATGTCGGTGTTTGAAAACGTTTGCGCTCTCTTGTGGATCGATGCCGTAAAAATCCTTTGACAGAGAAAACCGGCGATAATTTCTGTTCAGGTTTGGTCCTCGACTTTGAGCTCATGCAAACTTTTTCATATGAGGGCAATGCAGCTCGGTAGCGTCCGTTGACAGCAAGTGCTTGAGAACAAAAGAATTTATCTTTTTTTCACCCAGAATTTAACTATTAATAGCTAGCTAAGTATTTGTTATAAAACTATGATTTTTTGTTTCATTGTAAATTGTTCTTTACATGATTTCTCTTTGTTTTACAACGTTCTGTTGGGATGGACTGCGATCTCTTCCATATCTATGCAGAGAAAAAAAAAATCTTATTTAAAATGAATAGGAAGGACCAAATTCGAAGAAAACTTCTTCGATATCTAATGATGTTTTGTTCCAGAAGTACGCTTTGGTGTCTTAACCATTCCGATATCAGTTTCTTTTTGATCATCTATATCAAGCGTTTACCATTCTTTGAGGCGCGAACAATCAATTGGACTATGAATCTACTGTATGCTTGCTACAAAAAATCCTTTTGCATGTTGTTGTTTGATTGCATTTTGAAACGGAAATTTGCTTCCCTGAAACTTGATTCTTTTTGAATAATTTATTATCTCTAGGTAATATAATTAATACTATAATCTCAGCAGTACTTGGTTTTTGAAACAAAGTTTGCTTATTATATAGGCATATATCATATCATCTACAGTTTCAAGTAACCACTATTTCCATAGTTGCATGGATAGTGGAGATTCTCACAATGGAGCTCCTTTCAATCTTACATTAAGAGATATCACCAACACTGAAGGAACTAGGGCCTGCCCACCAGCTGACGAGCAAGCTCTGACAGGTATTAATCATGCCAGCGATAGAAAACGCAAAAGACCTTTATTACTAGGCATGCGGATTTATGATAAGGGCGAGAATGAAGTTATTCACCCACCAAAAGCTTACGAAGCTTTTAGGCATGTTAAGGGGAAATTTCTTTTTTCGAATGCTCAACAATATGATTCACAGTCCTCCAAAGGAAATGCTGAATCACAGGGAGAAAGGCTTGTTGAAGAGTTAAGCTTAAGAGGTTCTTCTTCTGGTCAAATATCCAGATTTAATAGTGATGCAGGTGATTCATCCATAGGTCCTGTGGCCATTTGTAACAGTGAAGATGATGATATATCAACAGAGTCTGATGAACCAAAAGAAACTTTTGGATTGGGCGAAAGCTTCTTAAGGCATCCAGTTCATCCAGTCAAGGATCATGAGGAGCCTACAATTTCAGATCATACTAGATTTGATTGGTCATTTCCGAGCAAAAATAAAACTGACATTGGAGAGAGATTAGCTCATGAAAAGTTCCAAAATGTAAGCCTGTGTGGTAGTTGTCCATGCTCTTCGTGTATCAAAGGTGAACCACATATTCCGTCACTTGTTTCCCTTATTTATACAATAATAGTGACTCTATTAATCTAATGGTTTCTTTCCTGCTAATTATTCAAACACTTTGCCCTTTTGTAATTTACCATTTACAGGTGTATTTTGCAATTTGTGCCTAACTTTAACCTATTTTTATATTATCAGCTGCTTATATGTGGTCAGATCTTATGTACCAGGATACTAGAGGGCGATTGAGTGGTAAATCTGTTTATTTTTTTCTTGAGCAGAAAGCTTGTATCCATTAAAATTAGTATCATTTTTACTCTCTATTTGGATAGCTTTCTTTTCTTGTTTACGGTTTTACTGTGTCTTCTCGCTTTGTTTAAATGTTTTTTTTTTCTTTTAGCACTGAAGTCTAGCAGAAGACATGCTAGAATACTAGAAGGGAAAATTCTCAGACATGAGAAAACTGGTGAAACCTCTAAATCTCGACACGAGAAAGCAAAAGCTACAGAATCTGATCTATTGCAACATTGGACATCACTTCTCCGTTGTACTGAGGATTCTCTTCTGTGTGAAATTGTGCAAGCTGTGAGTTAAATCATTTGACTATATTGTACCTTTATCATCTTTTGTTGTATTGCTGCAAAACTGTGATGGAGTATAATATTCAACATAATTTCTGGAGTACTTTGGAAAAAAATATTACTTTGAATGGGCACATACAATTATTGCATTTGCTACCATTTGATTAGGAACCAAACAAAATTTACTCTTTTTTCCATTCCAATTTTCACTATAATTGATTTCAAACCAATTCATTTCCCTATAAGTTGATTTTATTTACAACTCACATCTGCAACAAAAAGAGAGGAAAACCCATAAATTCCCTGTTACAAGATTGCATACAACCCACGATAGAAAAGTTGGCACGATGCTTATCTGGAATCATGGAAAGGAGAAATAATAGGGACAGTTCTGTCTAAGGCATAGTTATAACTAAAGAAGAACACTTTGAATCTACAATCTATGAGTGAAGCAAAAAGAATAGAGCTAGAAATTTTGAGTGGGTTGAGGTGAGATCAAAATATAGGAAAATTACTGCAAGGATAGGTGCTACGTCAATATGCCTGGTTTGACAAAAAAATTGATTCGATAAATATATCATTTATCATTCATCCCTCCCTCCCGCATAGTGGGATAAAAATTTGATGATGTTGTTGTTGTTGTTGTATCATTTATTATTCATCAAATAAATCATGCACTTCTTATCAAGTATTCTACAGGTCATTACACATAAGTTTGTCATTATGATGCACTAGATATGTCTAACTTGGGTAGTTGCATTTTCGCTACACTTGAAGGAATAACATACAACACACTCACTAGATCTTAAACTAGAACATGAAATTTTGTTTAATCAGTGCCATCCAATTACGTTCTCCAGCGTGTTAATTTAGAAACTTCTCATTCATGGATTAATTTATATTGAGATGCTAAAATATTAATATTGGTTTGTCTTCTCCTTGTACTAGTTAGTTTTTTTCATTCGTTATTTTAGTACATGTACATAATTTGATGTTGGTTTTCTTAGTGCTCTCTATTTTGAAAAAAAAAGGCATGTTAGAAATCTAATTAATGAAAATTAAATTCAATTTGAATGCCTCAAACTATCTATACATATTATCATTATTCTTAGTATAATTCTCAACAGACAGGTGAAAGGCATGACACCAAAATGAAATGATAGATTAAAAAAAAAAAAAAAAAAACCTTAACAGCAAGCTCATCTACGGTGTAAAGGCATAATAGAAGAATCATAATTTCACAAACCCTTCGTATTGCAAAAACAAGTTCTAGCAGCAGAAAAATTGCCTCAAAGATCAATACCATAATACCACAACTATAATATTGCATTATGATCAAAGACACTTAAACTTGTTGGGACAACCTTTTAGAAAGAGAACCCTTGAAAGATCCACCCCTCTGTGTAAAATCGAATAAGCTAGCACACTTCACAAAATATATATATCATAACCAAATATAATGGCATAAAAAAAATATTTAGTGCTCAAATTAGAGGTAAGAACCTTAGATTCGTGCCTTGTCAAATATTAGTGTAAAATTTGACGAATAATCATGATATGAATCATTCAAGGTTTAAAATTGCGTATTCGGGTATTGAGGCGTTTTTGCGCCTTTTATTGCGCAATTTTAAACGTTGGAATCATTTAATATATTGTGTTAATTCTAGGGAATTCCTTGGAAGCGATACGTTGTATGACCTGAATACAACAAGTGTGCAAGGGTCGCTGCATCGGCGCTTGTGTGCAGTGTTAAATAGGCAAGTGTTCCCATATCATGGACATATGTGGGCATAGAAATTAGTCCATAAAACTAAAATTAGGATATAAACTTTGAATATAGGTATCTTTACAGGTAAATTAATGAAATTAATAGATATTATGATTCATAGGAAAATAAATATTTTATGCATCCATGAAACTAAATAGGTTGAAGAGAAGGCTAATGAGATTGATAGTTTAGTATTTAAACTTTGATATTCTGATAAGAGTCATACTAGAAATGATATATGTGTGATTATATATAAGAGTTTAAAGGATGATGTTGTAAAAATAATAAAATTAGAGATAAAATTATGCTTTAAAGATTGTTGTTGACGCGAAGATTATTAATATTATGAGTGCTTATGCTCCTCAAGTAGTTTTGTATATAGGTTCAAAATTAAAATTTTAGAATGACTTAAAAGAATTAATACAAAAGATGCTTTCAAAGAAAAAAAATTTATCGGTTGGTAGAGAGGTAGATGATTTTAAAAGCATTCATTGTGGCTATGAGTTTGGAGCGACTAATAAAGGTGGTAAGATCATATTAGATTTTTCTTTAGCTTATGATTTTGTAATTGTTAATATTAAAAAAAAAGAGAGATGGACATCTCATCATTTATAAGAATAGATAGAATAAAACGCAGACTTATTATTTTTTAATAAGAAAAATTGATCATTTAGGTTGCAAGGATTATAAAGTTATTTCAACAACAACAACAACAACATCAAGCCTTTATCCCACTACGTGGGGTCGGCTACATGAATCCTTTTTCTCCATTGTGTCCTATTAAAAGTCAAATTCTTGTTTAAATCTAATAAAGAAAGGTCATTCCTAATATTTTCTTTTATAAAGTTATTTCAAGTGAAAATTTATATAATAAACATCACTTCTTTGTTTTGGACTTTAAGATGAAGGATCAGTAAATAACAAATAAAGTAAAATGTTGTTCTAAGATTAGATGAGAATATTTAAATAATATTAACAAAAATATTTTTGATAGTAAAATATTAGATCTTATGATTTTTTCTGTGCATAAGGAAGCTAGTATTATGTGAGAAAAAGTAGCTAGTGATATTAAGAATGTTGCAAAAGATATGCTTATCAAAAGGAAAAGCTCCTAATAGTAAAAATTGTTAGTGGTGGAATCAAAATGTTCAAGAAAATATAAATAAGAAGATTTGTTATAAAAATTGGTTTAGATGTAAAAAATTCGATAATTGGGAAATATATAAAGAGGACTGTAAGGAGTCTAAGAAAACAATATGCGATGCAAATATTTTAGCTTTTAATGATTTATATAATAGATTAGAGACCAAGGAGGGTGAAATATATATGTATAAGTTAGCCAAATAAAGAGATAAGAGTAATAAGAATTTAGTTCAAGTGAAGTGTATTAAGGATGAAGATCAAAAAGTGTTTTTTACTAGAAGAAGATATTCAACAAAGGTGGATGAAATATTTTTATATACTCTTAAATGAAGATTATGAGAATGTGATTGACTTTAGTGACCTTAGTATCCTAAATGAAAATAAAAATTTTTGTTTTACTTTAGTGACCTTAGTATCCTAAATGAAAATAAAATTTTTTGTTTTTATTGGCATATTAGTAAAACCAAAGTTAAAGATACTTTAAATAAAATGAAGTGTGAAAAAGCTGTTGGACCTAATGATATCCCAATAGAGGTGTGGAAATGCTTAGGAGATGAAGGAATTTCTTGCATTCAAACTTTTAAATATTATTTTGAAGAATAAAAAGATGTCATATGAGTGGAGAATGAGTTTGTTCATTCCTCTTTTTAAGAATAAAAGTGATGCACAAGATTATGCGAGTTATAGTGGAATTAAGTTGATGTGTCATACTTTAAAACTTTGGGAGAGAGTTATGGAGCATAGGTTACGACGTGATACTAATGTTTCTCAAAATCAATTTGGATTCATGCCGGGTAGGCCTACTATTGAAGCTATTCATTTATTGAGAGGGTTGATGGAGAAGTATAGAGGGAATAAGGAAGATCTACATGTGATATTTATTGATTTAGAGAAAGCATAAATTATAGTTCCAAAAGAAGTGCTATGGAGAGTTCTTGAAAAGAAATGAGTTAATAATGCTTATATTCAAGTCATTAAGGATATGTATGCAGGAGCTATTACTTGTGTCTAGACATAAGATGGGTTGGCCAAGTATTTTCCTATTTCAGTTGGATTACATCAAGGATCAGCCTTAAGCCCATATCTTTTTGCTTTAGTCAAGGATATTCTCACTAGAAATTTGCAAGAGGTTGTACCATGGTGTATGCTTTTTTGTTGATGAGATTCTTCTTGTTGATAGTACTATAGAGGGAGTTGAAGGTAAACTTGGATTATGGAGATCAACCTTAGCGTCTAAAGGTTTTCGTTTGAGTAGATCTAAAATTTAATATATGTAGTGTAATCTTAATAATAATAGATCTAGTGGGGGGATTGTGACTTTGGACGATCAAGTCATTAATAAGTGCACACATTTTAGATATCTTGAGTCTATTGTTCATAGTGATGGTGAAATAGATTGAGATATTATTAGTAGAATTCAAGTTGGATGGTTGAAGTGGATGAATGCATCGGGCTTGTGTGATAGAAAAGTCCCCCTCAAGCTTTAGGGAAAATTCTATAAGATGGTGGTTAGACATGCAATGCTTTATGGTGCAGAATGTTGGCCATTAAAATAGAAGCATAATATTAAGTTGTGTTGCAGAGATGAGGATGCTCAGGTGGATGAGTGGCTTTACTCTTAGAGGTAGGATACAAAATGAGCATGTACGTGAAAAGGTTGGAGTAGTTCCAGTGGAAGATAAGATTAGAGAGAGTCGCCTTAGATGATTTTCTAACATAAAAAGACGGTCTTCTGATGACTTGGTTAGGAAAGTAGATGTATTAGATTTGACTTGTGTTAAGAAGGGTAGAGGTAGACCTAAAAATACTTTGTTAGAAAATATTAGAAATGACATTTCTTTATTAGATTTAAATGAAAATTTTAACTTTTAACAAGACACAATTGAGAAAAAAGATTCATGTAGCCGACCCCATATAGTGGGATAAAGGCTTGATGTTGTTGTATATTTAGTTGGTTTACATGGTTTTTATCTTTAGAATAGTTTGAAAGGATAACACACATCAGTTATGTATCAATCTAGGCCATTCTTTGCAAGTTATTGTTGGCGTTGGCCTAACCTGTCTTATACTACTATGATACTCACAATTTTATCATTTTTTCCGTAAATTTTTTGAATTGCTCCATTACTTGTAGTCTTAATTGTAGAGTACCTAACTAAAATCTACCCATTACACAAACGTATGTATTGCATATCATGGCCTCACTCTTTACTTTTTTAATCTGATATCTTTTCTTCCACTTTTGACGTGGTATTAAGGTCATCTCTTTCTCTTTTATCTCTTACAAGCTTGTCATCTTAGTAAGACTATTAGCGGCTGTTCATTATCTAGTCCTTAGCCCCCAAAGATAACTTCTTAGCTTGGCATATCACTCCTCTTTAGATTTGAGTATTACAAATCAATAAACTTTTGTTTGCTTTATCCACATGTCACAAATTTTATTGGAAGACGTCAGATTTTGATACCAATTGTAACATCCCAATCAATAGTGTATAAGTTATTGTTCTTTCTGGCCCGACCTATCCTGCATCAGGCTCTTCATGTTTTATCCTTTTTTTTTTTTAATTTAACTTTTAGAATGTTGTTGATTCTATGAGTGTTTCATTGTAAGCACGCTTACTCGTAAAGTTTTTCAAGAAAAATTCTCTTATACTGCATGTGTCTTACATATTAATGCCTAACTAATTTTATTTATGTATAAACTTAAATAAAATCATTTTTGATTTTTGAGTTAACTTAAAATCAAATTATTTCAAAATGATTCGACTAGAATCAAAATGATTTAATTTCAAGTTGAGTTAAAATCCAACATTTAGTTTCAATTTTTAGTTCAAGTTGAGCTTAACTTACTAGAAGTTGGCTAAATATCACCCTTAGCTTTGATATTAAATTGACACTGGATAATTTAAGGTTATGATTTCCTAATGTAATTATAATGATGTGATATATGGAGATCATGTGCGGTAATTTAGGATTAGTTGATTGAAGATCACTTAAGTCATCAAAACTAATCTTGTTTAGGTGCAAAGTAGCAATACGGAAATTAGAAATTCAAATGTTGATAGTAGTTTTTTATCGAATATATTTGAACAAAATTAGCTAGAAATTAGGATCACACAATTTATACGAGTAATTATAATTTATTTACCTTCTTTAGATTCCCTATTATCTGAAAATCGAATAAAATTAAGAATATTAGCAAGCAAATAATAATATATTTAGAAGAAATTAGGTCAAGAGAAATATTCCCCTTACTAAAAAATTCAAGCCTCATGAAAGCACATGGAAATGACTTCACCTTGAAATTAGTAGTTATGCTTATATTGTACTCAAATGAATCGCATATCTAACTTGTACTCTTATGATTTGAAAACTAGAATAATAAGTTTTATCAAATCAAAGTTTTCTAATTGCATATCATAGACTATCTATTTATAAGCTCATCATATATACGTTAATCCACAAAAGACAAGCAAAAGGCACGATGCTGAAGTGGAAGCAATTTATAAGATTAATTAATAATAGCAACAAGCTCATCTAAGGAGCAAGCATTACAAAAAAATTCATCACAACAGCCATAGAATCATAAATCATGATTGCTACGGGTATTGCCGAGGTGAGATTCAAAAACAATTTGCCTCAAAGATTATCACTATATTACCACAACTAGAATATCACAACTATATTATCTTGTGATGATCAAAGGCGTTTAAATTTGTTGAAACAACATCTTACAAAGAACGCCCAAAAAAAAATCCGCGGTGTAAAATCAGATAATCTAGCATATTTCACTAAAAATAACTCACACAACCACACAAGAAAGAACATCTTATTTAGTGTAAAACTCTCAAATTTGTGGTAAAACCATGATTTTAATCTCGCACAAGATTTTCCATTAAATTTAGTTGGTTTACATGACTTTCATCTTCAGAAGAGTTTTTGAATTTCTTACATCAATATGTTAAAACAATTGAGGCCAAACTATGCAAGATATTTTTAGTTTTGGGCATGCCTTTCTTAACCCTAATTGAACCTCTCTCTCTCTCTCTCTCTCTCTCTCCCCGGGAATTTCACAAAAGATAACCGTCCTTGGAGTACTCCATTACATGTAGGCTAACTTGTGGAGTTGCTAAGGATAATGCACATTTTATAAAAAGGGAATTATTATGTTTCTCTCTTTCCTTTTATAGCCCAACATGGTTTCATTTTTTTGTGGAATTAAATGCATATCTGCTGCTGAAATGTCCCACACCCCATTTGCCACAATCACTTAGAAGTTTGTTGTTCAATAAACATGCTAGGGGGTCACTTCTTGTTTAATCCTTTAGCTCAACAATCATTCTTCACCCATGAAGAGCACCCTCGTTATATTCAAGTAGTACAGAAGTCTACTACCTCCAGCTTGGTTTGTCCCCAAGCTACACATTTTACTGAAGAGGTCAGGTTTTGATAGCAATTGTAACGACCCATGTTTTATTATATAAGGTAGTGTTTTTGGCCAAATTCATCTTATAACTAGCTAGCTAAATCTCATTATTTTATCTCTTTCTTGTAACAACTAAATAGGTCTTCAATCCCAAGTGTACTCCACTAGCTCACTTAGCTATAGAGTTGCAGTAAAGGATGCCTCAATTTCTACTTCTATATCATAGCATCCCTTTCTTAATGTCATTAATCTCCTAAAAGCCTTCTAAGAGCCACTTTGTTGTCCAGTCAACAACCATGGCGTTTGCTCTTCCGTCCAAGCGGACCTTCATGTTCTAATTTAGTTAATTACAAATTATACCCAATGGCTTGCCCAAACACCGCTATCAAATGGATCCATAAGAGAGAGCTCGAGAAGAGAATATCCTTTCTAAACTAAGAAAACCATCTTGTAACATTGATAATAAATGGGAACCTGTACAGAAAATTACAACAAGACAATATCATGGATGACTGATGCAACTAATTTCCATTTTCTGTTGGTAGGCTCTGCTAGCCAACCTCTTCTCATTTTCTATTTGGATAAAAAATGGCATCACTTATTCCATTTGATCCAGATTTCTAATCTATCTAAAGCTAGGAGGAATACACATTTTCATGGTTCCCATTACAACAACAACAACATCAAATCTTTGTCCCACTACGTGGAGTCAGCTACATGAATCTTTTTTCTCCATTGTGTCATGTTAAAAGTCAAATTCTCGTTTAAATTTAATAAAGAAAGATTATTTTTAACATTTTCTAACCAAGTCTTTTTTAGTTCTAAACCTTTCTTAACATAAGTCAAATCAACACCTCTACTTTCCTAACCGGGTCATCGGAAGGCCGCCGTTTTATGTGACCAAATCATCTAAGACGACTCTCTAATCTTATCTTACACTGGAGCTACTCCAACCTTTTCACGTATATGCTCATTTCGTATCCTATCTCTAAGGGTAAAACCACTCATCCACCTGAGCATCCTCATCTCTGCACACTTAACTTAGTATTATACTTCTCTTTTAATAACCAACATTCGGCACCATAAAGCATTGCAGGTCTCATTACCATCTTATAGAATTTTTCCTTAAGTTTGAGGGGGACTTTTCATGGATCCCATTCTTTCTCATAATTAATTCTGTTGTTCGCATTGCAGCAATCACGCCTCATCGAGATAGAAAAACTAAAAGACAAGTTCAAGAGAGACCTGGAGACAATGAACTCCATACCACAAAACGAAGCTGAAGAATGATGCTACTGGTTGTCTTCATTTGGAGATACTGATCTCTGTTTTGCTTGCCAGAGCCTTCTCAACTATTCATTTTTCACATGAAAGAAGTTGTTATATTTGTTAAAATCAATTAGCGGTCATATCCAACTATCTCTCAGTTTTTGTGCTGCAGCTAATAGTTTTTTTCTGCATCTCTTTGGTAAAGACATCATAGCATGGGAAGGTAAATGGTGTTTCTCTCATTACATGATTGTTTGGTCTTTTGACAAATGTTTCTTTTGGGATAATTTTTTTGCTGCTTTTTAAAATAATTTTTTAGTACAAAAAATTATAGTTCAAAAAGTTTTTGTACTATGAAGCTGTTTTAAAAAATAGTAAAAAAGTTATTCCAAATGAAGTCATAATTGCTATGATTGCTCGATCTTTGTGAATATAACCCTAAAATCTATGCTAACAAATTGAGTTTATGATCGAGATCAGTCATGAATCGTTTATCTAATTGTTTGCTTTAGGCTTAGTTTGGGATGATTTTTTTGCTGCTTCTTAAAGCAATTTTTTAGTACAAAAATTACTAGAAAACTGTTTTAAGAAACAGTAAAAAAGCTGTCCCAAACAAAACCTTAGTTTTCCAAAAAAGTGAGTTTTCAATAATTTATTCTACTCGAAATAGATTATATATTGATCCACATTAATTAATATAACAATCGCACAGTTCCCGGACAAATCGGGTGCAAGCAAACCTATCTACCAAACCTCGAATCCGGAAACATAAACAAGCTGAATCCATTAGGGTAGAAGATAAAAAGCATCGGCGAACAAACAGAGACAAATTAAACCCTAACAAAACCTAATTAAAATTTCCTGCAAAACTAACGCTAATCTACCAGGCAAACAAAATCTAAAGCACAGACGTCTATAAAATATCAGAAACAGCATGAATTAATCGAAACCAAATATAAAAAACGCAACGCCATAAAGAAATCGATGCGAAATAATGAAATTATTCGTCTCAAAATCAAAATGCTAGCGTGATTCGTATCAGAAATTTCATTAAAAATTTATACAAAGTAAGAAGAAAATCAGAAAAATAAACGAAAAACTCGATTGGACTGATACTTCTATAAAATTAGGGATGAAAGATACCTGAAAATGGAGCAGTGAAGGTTAGAAGCTGGAGGAAAGAAACGGATGAAAAGGACATTCCAATTTGCTTCGCTGCTCATCCACGAACAGTGCCAGATAGTGACGGCGACGGCGGCGGCGACGGCAACGACAACGGCGACGGAAGCGATAACTTATGGGGAGGTCCGCCGTAGGAAGCAAGAAGAGAACAAAAAAAATCTGAAACGAGCACGACTGTGCTCAAGAGATTTTTCGCATTTCGCGACCTTCCGGATTTGCTGCTCTGTTGCTTGATCAACAAAGGCAGGAGCCTCACGGTGGATAGGAAGGAAGAAAATGGCCTTTATTTGCTCTCCAATAACATTCATGAACGGCCAAAGGATCTCACGTTAAGCCATGTCAAGGAAGAGCTTGAGGAGGATGACGGTGGTAGTCGCGGATATTTGCAGGGGATTTTTGTAATTTTTTTTCGGAAAACAGCGGACCGCTGCGGCTCGCGGGAGAGAGTGTAAGGTGAAGCAATTGCATGCCGCGAATTTTTTCTGCCGCTGTTCTGCCGCGATGCCCCAAACAACAATTTCATAACTTTTTATAAAGTAAAGCAAGAGTGCCGCCGTCCCAAACGAGCCCTTATTCTACTTGAAATAGATTATACTGATCTAAATTAATTAGAATGGATTTTTAAGTTGTTGATTTTATTTTGAGCTAATTTTAATATAAATTTTGATTGATTATTTTTGTATTGCATTTATTTTATAATAAATCTAATAATCTTAAAATCTGCATTGACAAATAATTTTCTTACACAAACGGATACTTTTCAAACAGTTTTCATATGCATAAAATAGTGCTAAAGCAGCCAAGTAAAATATGTTAAGAACTGGATGACGATTGCCTATGTCATTGCTTAAATATGGCAGCAAAGCTCTTCTAGCATTTTCTAGAAGCCTGAACTTTGCTTCTACATATTTGCTAATAAGATCCCAAAAGTTTTCTATATAGATAAGTAATATCTTCAATGGCCAATTTAAGAGGGGCAATAGATTTTGACATGATAACATCATAATTCCACAAGCAATAATTGAGGCAAAATAGTATTTCAATGATATTGATCCAATAAATATCTTTAGATTCTAAAGAGTCCAATCTATGAATATTTGATGAAATAATAGATTATTTTTTTTTTGAAAATTAATTAGTTCAAATACTAAATTGATATCATGACCTTTTTTTATATATTTGAGTATGGAGCATTGTAAGGAACGTGATAAGAGCGAATTTAGGCGTATGTGCGGAGAGATTATTCTGTGCGGTCATCGGACAGTCTTTAGGCGAATAAAATGAGCCACTTCATTTGGTACGCATCACATGTAAACAATTCAAAAGCATCAGATAACCGCATAGAATAATTTCACGTATGTGCTAGAGGGAGCTTGCCAAATGAAATTTTAATATATGTTAGTATTTCAAAATTACTTAATATTTAAATAGTGAACATTTATTTTTTATTTACAAAATAAATTAATTTATATGTTTTCTTTTTAACATGAAATGTCTATATGTAAACTTTTACAAAAAATATCAATTTGTAATCAAGCTAATTCTAGATAAGTGGAAGTGATAGATTTTGTTTGGGATTATTTTCTTATTATTTTTTAAAATATTTTTTTAATCAAAAATTTTTTATAATAAAAAGATACTTTAAAAAATAATAATAAAACTATTTCAAACAAAATCTTAGTCTAGAGGATCAAGAGGTTATATGTCTCAAAATAAATTTAATAAATTTCAATTATATAAAAAAATTATACTATGTATTGATTTTATATAGAATATATCTTTTATCATTAATTAATTTTAAAATTATAAGAAAAGTTCTTCAAATTCACATCAGAGTGAAATTTCAGAAAACGAAACATTTGACAAAAAACCCCTTAACAAAATCTTGGAATCGTGGCAATCCGTAGATCTCATGGTGATCTCTCAAAGATTTTTTTTTTTTTTTTAGAGAATTTAGTAAATTTAAATAAATTTAATAAAAATTAAAAATTAATAAATATAGTACTGAAATTTCAATTATGAAGTCAAAAAAAACATTTATAACGTCAAACACTCGAATTATTTGAGGGGAATTAAAAAAATAAAAAATAAAAATTCCAAGTCGTAGCGTGCAACTTCTTCAACCTACGTTGTGCGGTTAAAATCTCGTTGGGCCCCACTGATCTTTGAACACGGTGGTCATCAGTGATGCTGGCGAAACTCTGAAAAGGACCTCTGAGGAAACAAAGGACCAAAAAGCGTCCACGTGCAGTTCTTAAGTAACCTGACTTCCGAACTCAGCTTCTCGCGAAGCAGAGAAAATTTAGCCAACGCACATTGGCCCATAGGGCTTTTATATATTATGAAGTACATAATTACAATATTATATGTACTTTATTTTTGAGTATTAATTATGCGTTATTTATTATTTAAAATATAATAATAAGAATTATTTGTTATAAAAAAAGAGAGATATATTTTTTAAATATTTTTAATAAATTTATACTTAAAATCTTGGATTTTAATATATTTTAAGTATATTTTATATTAATATTTTTTAAAATGAGTCGGCTGACCAGTTGAGTTAGGACTTACTTAAGCTTGAATCATTAGCTTATCGAGCTCATATCACGAACCATTTATAAAGCCAAGTCTGAGAACTAGCACTCGAGTCAACATGAATCACTTACACCCCTAGGGCTTACTGATATCAAGTGTGAGGGCAAAGCAACAACGGGGAGACTTCAAGACGAGAGAAGACTGAGGAGCCAAGAGTAGAAGAAGCTAGAAGGGATGATAGAGACATCAATTGCAGACTTGGTCTTCATTTGGGACAGCTTTATTAGAGCTTCTTAAAACATTTTTCTAGTACAAAATTTTTTAACTAAAATTTTTTGTGCTAAGAAGCTGCTTTAAAAAGTAATAAGAAAGCTGTCACAAACGAAGCCTTAACTGAAGAGTGACTTGTAGCGAAAATTGAAGTGAAATAAACAAGGAATGGACGAAACCTAATGCATTATTATAGATTTACAACTAGTCCCCAACATTGATCGCGTTGTCATCACAAAGTATCTTATTCCGATAATGTTTGTATTTACTTTTTTTCGCTCATAAAAATTAATATTGAAATATTCCATTAGATGATAATTTAAGCTCATTATGATTAGCTATCACATGAGATGATATAACTATATTTTAGGGAATTAATGATATTAAAATACATGATGCTATATCTAAAATAAATTAAAATAGTTAACTAAGTCTATTATATATGGTTCAAATTAGAGATGCTAGTTTTTTTTTTCTTTTTTATTCTCCTTTTTCCATAGTTTATTTACATAATTAACCACATTTATTTCTCCTTAAGCCATTTAATTACTAATAATGATGGTAGGATTAAGCTTAAGTTTATGATTAGTATTAGTGTTAAGTTTAAGATAATATAATTAAAAATAAATGACAAGAGGAGATTAATATATTAATATTAGCGTGGAAAAGAAGGAAAGAGAGGTTAGGGATAGTTCAACGCCTCATCACGCGCCGCAATCGCTTTACTTCTGTCTTTGTCCGCTGGTTTTTCTCTCCTAATCTCTCGTCATTAACTTATTAAAAATCGTCATTATTTCTAATTCAAAATTAGAACCATCTTTTAAGTCTTATCTATGTACGATAAAAGTGGCCTTTAATCAAATATATTTTCTAGGCAATTTCTGGTGGCTCGAACTGTCTATAATAATAGCCTTAAAATTATTTAATTTTTTTTTTTAAAATTATTATGAGCATAATAATTTTTTAATTGAGGCAATGATCAAAGTTATTGCGTCCTAGAATATTCGCGGCGGTAGAGAGTGATATGTTTTAGCGTCTTAGTTTTGTACGAAAATCCCGCTAACAAAAAGATAATAGAGTTTGCATTGATTATAGAGTTTATAAGTGAGACCATAATTTTTATATGGATACCCCTGAAAAGGAGAAAAATTATGGTGCCTAACTCATTTTGAATGAATCCATTAATGTTTGCAATTGATTACAAATGAGTCCCTTCCTTAGAATAAGGTCTTGGCTCAATGTAACAAATATA